ACAAAGCCAAAGTAATTACCTCCTAAACTCATGGTCCTTGAAGGTCCAAAAAGGTCCATGTGCAAAAGTTGTAATGGCCTAGTCGTAGAAATAACGTTCTTTGACTTAAACGAGGCCCTTACTTGCTTCCCCTTTTGACATGCATCACAAATTAGATTCTTCTCAAACTTAAGTTTAGGAACACCAATTACTATGTCTTTAGAAACCAACTTATTAAGATGGTCCATGTTAACGTGAGCTATCCAACGATGCCATAGCCACGTTTCTTCCTCTTTGGTGATGAGGCACTTAGCTAAGATAGACGGGGAATTTTCAAGATCAAACATATAAATGTTATCTACTCTACTAGCACAAAGAACAGTCCTATTGTCACACAAGCGTTCTACAATGCATTTACTAGAATCAAAGATGACACAGTTACCTCTATCGCACAATTGGCTAATGCTAAGAAGATTGTGCTTGAGGCCCTCAACAAGAAGAACGTTCTCAACGGTTGTAGCATTGTCTCTTCCGACGGTGCCACTTCTAATGATTCTTCCCTTGTTGTTGTCACCAAAAATGACATTGCCGCCTTTGAAATACTCTAAACTCCTAAATTTGGATGCGTCTCCGGTCATGTGCTTGGAGCATCCGCTATCGAGATACCAAGAGGTACTCGAAGCCTTCAAGCACACCTACAAAAAGATATCAAGGAGACGGTTTAGGTACCCATATATTGTTGGGTCCTTTTTGGTTAGCATATGTGCGATGTGTGTGCGTTTGTTGAAAATGCCTAATTTTGGTGAAGCACACGGGTGCAATGTGACCTATCTTATTGCAATAGTGGCAAATAACATTTGGATTATTCATCCTATATGGTTGAGTGTAATGAGTTCTAGGTTTGCTAGGATGTGCTCTTCTAGTTTGATTATTTATCCTAGCATTTTTATTCCCCCTAGCTTTAACAAATGTTGTTTTTCTAGGTTGGTTTTTCTTATATCCAAGTCCTTCACCATTACTAACTTTTTGCTTAAGAATTTTATTTAAGGTGTTTGAAGCATTATTGAACTTTCCCAATTTACTTTCTAAAGTAGCAACTTTAGCTTTTAATGAAGTACAACTAGAACATGTAGAAGAAGAAGTAGTTGAAGGTTCTTGTGGCCTTTTTCCAAAAGATATAATTTCTTGTTTAAGTTTATCATTTATATTTTTGAGTTCTTTTACATCCTTCTCAAAAATCAGGATTTTTTGTTTAACTTCATTATTTTCTTTGGAAGCCTTTTTGAACATTCCTACTAAATCTTCTATAATGCAAGCAACATCATTAAGAGTTAAAGAATCATTGGGAGAAGGTTCTTGATCACTTACCTCTTTTGATGTATCACCATCTTCAATGGCCATGAG